TTTAGGGTTAGGATTTAGGGGTTAGGGTTTAGGGTTAGGGTTTAGGGTTGAGGGGCTAGGGTTTCGGGTTATGGTTTAGGGTTTAGGGTTTCGGGTTTAGGGTTCGCAAGCTCAGGAAGCCAGCAATTGCTTGCCAACCACAGAATATTTCGCCCTCAAAGCGTTCAACAACTTAGTAAACCTGGAGCCTGCAACATCGTATTTGGTCATGGTACCCCCCCTGAACCAAGACACAGCAAGCTTGCAGCTAGGCTTCTTGTTTTTTACTTAGCAAGTTGGTTGTATGTAAAAGCCCTAAGCCTAAACCCATGTAAAGCTACAGGTACCTCATAGGTCTGGTGAAGAGGTGGGGCTGTGAGCTTAAGATCTTTAGGACTACCAGGGTCAGGGTCCGGAGTTCGGGGTGGCGCGTTTACTATACATCGAAAGCTATCCAGCATGAAAATCTGCCTGGTGCTATGCGGCTGATAGATACATGAATCAAAACTGCCTGGTAATTGCAAGGTGCGTATTTCTGCATGGGAGCTCATAAACCCTAAACCCTAAACCCCAAGCCCCTAAACCCTAAACACCAAGCCCTAAACCCGAAACCCCTGAACCCTGAACCCTAACCCCTAAACCCTAAACTCCACAGCAGTGACTTTCTGTTGAGTGCCGTAACATGGGGCTCTTCGACCCGGTGTGGATCAGTGTTTAGGGTTTAGGGTTTAGGGTTTAAGGGTTTAGGGGTTTAGGGTTTAGGGTTTAGGGTTTAGGGTTTAGGGTTTAGGGTTAGGGCTTAGGGTTTAGGATGTAGGGTTTTGGGTTTCAAGTTTAGGGTTTAGTGGAGTGCACTCAACCTGTTGCAAGTAGAGTTCTAAGTAGGATGAGGGTGTAAACTGTACTCCTAACTCATAACTCGACCTGCAATCTACTTACTGGATTCCAAGATGGTCCTCACGAGATTAGACACGGCTGGAACTTCACTCACTTAGAGTTTCGGAGTGTAGGGGTCAGATTAAAGGGCTTCCACGCCTTTGGCAACCGCAAACACCTCCTCAAAACCCAATATAAATCCCTGAAGCTAACCAGGTCAACCACCTAAACCTTGACGGCTGCAAAGGCGAAGCTAAACAGAACAAACCCTAAACCCTAAACCCTAAACCCTAAAACCTAAAACCTAAACCCTAAACCCACATCTTAGAACTTCTGTCAAGGCCCTGACATCGACCCAGAACACCAAGCCTAAGCCTTGCGAGGAGACGTCCAAACCCTAAGTCCCCAAATCCTAGAAATGGGAAGGTTTGGGGTTTAGGGTTTAGGGTTTTTTTTTAAGTGCAATGCGCCCCTTTTCTGTGCAGAAAGGACACTCCCCGTTTACGGAGGTTTAGGGTTTAGGGCCATGAGCAAAGCCGTGCAAAAGCTTATAGAGCCAGTTCAAACCCTGAAGAGAACCCCGGCGCGACCCTCTCCGAGCTCCGCGAGACGCTCTTGTAGTTGCTGAAGAAGCGGATGGTCTGGGTGATAATGTAAGGGCCTAAATAATTACTTGTTCCTTATTATAAATCTACCATAAAGGGCCCCAGAATCCTATTCTTATTATTAGGGCCCCTATATTAAGTCGTTGTAGAGTTTAGGGTCCTTCTTGGGAGTCAAGCATGAGGTGTAAGGTCTTTAGTACAAAGTGTAGGTTAGGGATGAAACTTAATCTTGATTCAGCGGCTGGCTTGGAAGGCTTTTCGTTTGGTGCAAAACAGTTTCTTCGGGCTGCTTAACTTTCTACCACGCTCTACCGGCCGTGGAACGTGACCTGTTTAGCTTGTGCAGCTTCTGGAAACTTCGGGCTTGGGTCGAATCAGGGTTTAGGGTTCAGTGTTCAAGAGGGTATCCTGGTGGCGTTTGCAGTAGTTAAGGTTTAGGGGTCCGTAAGCACGTATTTCTTGTGTCTTGCATCGGTTGTATCAAAGTATTCCCTTTTGTATAGACACACCTATAACATGGGTTGTGTATCGAGACTGTGCTTAAGGACGAGGCCGAGGAAGCCGGGCTGATTGTATCGTGCGCCACCCGTTTTTTCGCCATGGACATCTTTTGCTTCGGCGTCCGACAAGCCGTTCATTGCCGTGAAGCAATGGAACTGTCACCGAAAAGAAGCTTCACAGTGCGTTTCTGCTTGAAGTTGTAGATACAATTAATTAAAACCCGAAACTCATTTAAAGTAACGAAAGTACCCATGATGCAATACAGGTAACTGGTCTGCACGAAATTTTGCTCGCTGTCGGGGTTCCCGTAGATTTTGAATCAGCTTGTTAAGGTCCTACAGGCTTGCATTAGGAGTTAATGCAGATTCCTAGGGTTGGAGATAAGGAGCAAACGCACGAATGTAGTCTACTGATTAAATAGCCCCTCTATCTTCTTCGGGATTGCAGCAGGGATCCTAGCAAACCCTCAACTTACTGCCCCAATAAGCCAGGGAAATACAAGGTTAAACTTTCAGATTGCTACTAAATTCTTAAAAAAAACCAAAAACGTTTAAAGGTTGGGTATTGGGGAACTAAGTTGAAGAGAGAAGGTTTATCAATCGGGTCGGGTCGAGGCTTCAATGGATTTCAGCAACTGTAATGTAGAGGCCTCAATAGTTCCGATACGGTTTAAGGGTCTTTTATGCAATATTTGCAACATTAACAAGGAACCCCCCAAAAATAGTATAGGTAACTATTTGGGCTTCCTCTTTCTTAAGGGCCCCGACAGAGGATGCCCTGGGTGGCAAAGGTACCCTTTTTCCAGCTTTCCAGCTTACATTACAAAACACTGGAAAGAAGAGCAATGGGGTACCAACTACTAGGTAACCGGACCTAGTTAAGCCCTTAGAACATTGTAGAAACCTGATAGAACTTTTGTAGAACCATGTAGAACCCCCTACAGAAGCCGTTATAGAACCCTAAGCCCGTAAGGCCCATTGAGGGGTCGGGAAGCATCGGAACCAGACACCGTCAACACCGAAGCCTTACACCCTGACCTCGCCAGCCCTAACATAGAGTTTAGTTCAGGGTTCAGGGTCTGAGCAACGAGTCTTTATAAACGCTTGCAGTCCTCCACACTCTATTCCAATTCTTAACCCAAGGCCCCTGTATCGCACCGCTGCCAAATGTGGAATACTCGAACCAACTTGGCCCCTGGCCGACGCCGTGTGTCAGTGCCAAGATTTTGTTCGCACCTGCGGAGAGGTATCATGAGGTGTGGAATTTCCCAAGATCCAAGAGGTCATGAAATCAGCAGAAACGGGGCCTACATCGGTTTAAAGGACGCCCTGGAATTTACTCCGTGTTTGACACGCTCTCGGTACCCTTCGCTTGTTTGTTATTGAAACAGGGCTAGTGGTTGGGTCCGTATTTATTACGCACACCACCAACTATCTCCAGAAATGCATGCCTTGCTACTGAAACTTAGTACTCTGCCCACTCGGAACACAAGCTGTAAAAATCAACAACTGCAACTCTCTATGACTGCGTTTAAGTTTTAGTAAGGAGAAAGGAATCAATGAACAAGCAGACGAGAGCTAGTAGTAGTGGTAGTAGCAGTAGC